ATAGTTGAACAAATAGAGAAAATACTACGGCTCAATTATATAAAAACATAACAAGAATTTATCTTACAAAAGGTTCCATCAAAACTCTAGATAACAAATTAGCTATTCATAATAGTATGTAAAACTACAATACTAAAAGTCATAACCAACAATGAAAAATAGGAAAAGGAAGGAAAAACTCGTAGAAGAATTCCCCGCCTTGCTCCTATTGTGTGTCTGCCTCCTTAGGTCGAATCTGTGTCAAAAATTGGTCTCCTCTCCTCAAAATACCATTTTTTCATGTATATATACCAAGTAGGGTTGGGCCTAAACAATTATACCTTCTTCTACACGATAAAAGGACAAGTTTCCAGGCCTGGACGTCCGCGGCCGCGGTCCGAGCGTGGTACAGGCGTGGTACTTTCCTAGTAAACTGCCTCAGTCCGCGTCAGGTCCGCTATTGCGGTTTCGACCGCGTTTTTCACCCTATTCCTTTGGTATTTGGAAACACGTAAAACATGAAAGTTTTAGCCCTTTGAGTTAGCTTTCTAACCATATATTGTGGAGCCCAAATGGAATTCTGAGCGAAAAGTTATGTGTATTTTACTAGAAAGTGCACAATATGCCTACTCGATTCTTCGTTTTGTTGCTCTATCATCCGTTAATCCCCGAATACGATCCCAGCTTAATTCCTTGGGCTTTTACTCAGACATCAAAGCTCCAAATCACTTGAATTCATTACATAACATCTACATAGCTCGGAATCACCCCTACAAGGCATAAAACTCACAATAAGTGCAAGACACTAGCGATTAAAGCTCAAACTCAATTAAAGTGTAGTAAATTTGAGTGTAATAAGCGACTAAAATACATAATTATAGCCTATCATCACTACTGTTAAATTATAATTCAAAACAGTATTGTGTTTAGAAATTCTACTGTGTTTTAGTAGTGCTTATGACTCCGTACTACCGGTTTTGGGATTGTATGATCGACGTTGCTCAGCTATGTTGTATCAATTATTACTTAATTTATTACAATTAAGTAGTTAAATTTAAGTAATAATCAACATATGTTGGGCTTACCTAGTCTTAGAGACTAGGTGCCATCACGACATCCTAAGGTGAAAAATTGGGGTCGTGACACCTGTATGTGAGATACATGTGTCGCAGAATAATTTTTTGAACTCGATTTTAACTACGAATTTTAATACCAAATCAACCCAAATCACCTTAATCTTCCACAAAATTTATATATTGACGCATCTATATATTTTCAATAAATTTCAACCATACCCATTGAAAAAGGTCATTTTTGATTGGATTTTTGGATATTTATTTATTTATTTATTTATTTATTTATATTTCATCACCTTGTTTGCTACCTCATCCATAAAATTTCCTTTCCATCTTGCATCTAATATTGTTGATCACGCTTAAAAATATGGAATGAGATCTTTGCATTTCATTCTTGAGAGAAAGAATCCTTATTTATTTGGGTTTCAATTATTGTATGTGCTTGATTAATTTTGATAAGTTTATAATTAATAGCTAGATGTTGGTAGGTTATGACTTATTTGTGATACTCCTACTTCTGTAAGATTCCCTTATAATATCTAGCTCTAGTAAGAAGACCATTTATTTAGTGAAATAAATAAATTCTAATGCACCAAATAGGCACTTTTTTCTGTTTCATAAGTAAGTATAATATTCCCTCCGTCCTTATTTATGTTTGATTGGGTACAAAGTTTAAGAAAAAAATATTTTTTTAAATTTATGGTTTAAAATAAATATAGATTTTTGTGGCTATAAATCATCTCATTAATTAAGCCTGAAATGAGAAGCTTAAATTTAATTATTTCTAAATACAAAAGTATGCCTTTTTTTGAAAATTTGAACTTTGGTTAGTCCAAGTTTTTGTTCTCTAATATTGATAGCTTTGGAGAATTGACAGAGTTTGTTGTCAAAAGAATTGTTAATTTCTTCTAAGTTTATCAAATGTGCACGGCAAATTAACTTGATTCAATATCTATATCAGCTTAGACAGATAATCTTGGCGCTCAGAATTTATCATAATTTTTTTTTTTATAGTTCTTGACATTATCAATATTCTCATGATGCATGAAAGGAGGATATGGGATTGCTGAATTTCAAGCTTCACTAACTTTGATGCAAGATTCATTTTCACGACATTTAAGGCTCTCATTAGTAAGTAGATTAATTATGATCGATCGTTTCCATTCAGCAAGCTACAAATTTAATTTTGTGCAGTGTTCGTGAAGGCGACGGCACCGGTTGTAGTGCCATAAAATACTCTTAACTTGGCTTTGGGATTTGGTTGGGATTTTAAAAGGACAGATAATTCATCCTTTTTTCTGTAATTCATGTTCCAGGGGCTGTGTTTGATCTCCGTGTTTGACCAGCTATCTGGTCTACGAAACAAACTATAGCCTACGGGGAGGAGAAAACGGAGAGGGGAATAAGGATAGTTGTGTACATCATTATCATTAGGTGTTATGGGTCACTTAAACATGTAGGGTTTTTGAAAGCCGATACATAAAATTTGAATTTTCCCATTTAAACACTCAAACTTGAAAAAATAAATACTAATAAACACTTTTGACCGTTGACCATGCCTATGCGGAAGCACTACAACTGACATGGCTAAACTGTGTGCAAGTCACGCTGCCAAGGCGCGTGAATAATATTGTTTTTACTTAAAAAAATTAAAATTAGAATAAAATATAAATAAAAAAGAAAAATAAAAAAGAAAAAAAAAGACTTTTTCAATTCTTTCGTCTTCCCAGCAAAATTCCCACCCAATTTTTTCATTTCTCATCCTACTTTCTCTTCCCCCTCCCCTTTCTCTGTTTTTTATCCCTTCATATTCCCCTTCAATAATTTTTTCTAGTCTCCACCCCTTTCTTTGTTTTATTTTGGTTATGGTCTAATCATGGCTTGCTGTTCTTCGACACAAATAAGAAGTTCATATCATAAAATAACATAAACTGTCATATTCTATTCCCTTTGGTCTTCGATATTGAGATTTTCCTGGTTGAGTTTGTTGCATGTTATCTGCGTAGAGTGATTATTAGCTTGCTGCCGATATAAAGTTGGCATGTTGTTGAAGTACTCCATGTCCATTGACTGTCGACATCGTAACCATATGATAAAGAGAGAAAGAATAATGAAGAAAAGAGAAAGGAGAAGAAAGAAGAGTAAAGAAAGGAAGGTAGGAGGGTGAACGAAGAAGAAGGGGCGGTTGGATAGTATGTTTCAGGCATTTTTTTTTCCTTTTTGTATTTGTAACTTTTTGTTTATTTTGTATTTAAAAATGGGACCCACAAATAATACATGGCAAATAATAAATAGCTTAGCATGATGTGTTGTACATGTCAGCGCAACTGGTATACACGCTCTGCTGGATGTGTGTATTAGTACCCATTTTTTCAAGTTTGAGTGTTCAAATGGAAAAATTCAAAGTTTGTGTATCGACTTTTAAAAACCCTATAAATTTAAGTGGCCAGGAAGCCATTTTCATTATTCATTAGGTTTAAGTTATACTCCTTCTATTCTATTTTATGTGATGGTGATTAATTAAATATTAAATTAAATAGTGAAATAAAAAACTTCGTAACTTACAGCATAAAATATGTTATGATATTTATGTGATAAAAAAATCATATTTTCTTTTTGAATAAAATTATCAAATCAAAAATGTAGTTATTTTTAAATATAAAATAGCCAATCTTTTGAAACTAATATAAAAAGAAAACTACTGCGTAAATTGAAAAGAAGTATACATTATTGTAAGTGCAATTTAACCTATGATAACATGTTATTTAATTATATTTTTAAATTATCAGATCATATTTGTTATAAATATCAATTATTTACAGATAGTTTAAGTTGATAATATAAAAATATTATACACCGTCAATACACAAGTCTTGAACTCTTTTCCTTTAACATGGCACGGGGGGAGGCAAGACGGGAAAGAGATAGCGTATGAATCCCTTTTTGTCTGAAATGAAATAAATTAATTGAAGAAAGGAAAACGAAGGATGACTAACATCCAGCTCCATGAGGTGATATTTTAAGGACATTAAGACCTTGGGTTGTGCATCTTTTGTTGGATCCCGCGGACTTTGAGGATATTGCTTTCTTTTTCATTCAGCGCTCACGTGTATTTCTATGCCTCCAATTAATCAACTAAACAGCTGACTCCTAAAAGCTGAAATTAAGAGTCAAAATGACAATTTTTTTTGACGCATTTGGAACAAATTATTCTTATAATTCTCTGACCAATGATTTTTATTCCTTTTCTTTAAATCTTCTAAGCCATGCATAATCAGTAAATTATCAATTGATTTCTTTAAATCATAATCTTAAATTGGTAAAGTAGTTTCACTTGATACTACAACAATTCTTAGACCAACATTACAAAATAAAAATAAAAAATATTAGAAGTTCTTTATATTTTTTAATTGGCATAAAAATCTCAGAAATAGGCCGGCAGGATATTATTCCTTTATTGCAGAATGTAATCTCCCTTCTTGATGAGTTAGTTAAAAAGAAAAGGCAGAAGAGATAAACGCAAAGAGGTCAAGAACTGAAAAGGGGAAAAAAAGAAAGAAAAAGAAAGCTAATATAAGTGTGTCAATAATAAGAGGCCAGTTTAAGTGTCTTTTATTGCGTCTATAATACCTTACACGATGAACCTGTCATTTTGTATTAAAATTTATGATCCTCCTGTTCTAATACGTAACCCAAATACTCAATGCACGATTAAATTAATCAATCTCCAGGTAAGTGTTCCTGTCACCGTAAAGGAAAATGATAAGTTGGAAGATTAAATTAAAAAAAAAAAGGAAGAAGAATGGAAATATACTGTAGTATATGTAAAAGGAAGAAAAAAGGAATTTATTCGTCTTTGACTTTGACTGTGCATGGCTAAAGGATATATTGAGAGAGATGACACAAACAAAACAATATTTACAGTAGTTGAGCAGATTTTCATCACTTATATGCGGCGAATTCCAGGAGGGGGTCTCCCATTCAACGACATTTTCCAAAGTCTGGTAGTAATTTCTTCCCTTTCATTTCCACACCATAATTCACACGAGACTACTATACGTAACATCCAATTTCATTGTTCACATAACACCACACTTCATTCCTTATTATTCTTCCTAAGTTTTTAACATTCTCGGTCCAGTTTCTCTCTCCATGTATCATTCACCCTAAAGATCTGATCGCAGTCTTTTCATTCATTCTCAAAATATATCTTTTTCCTTCATCTCAAATTTTAGGAAGCAAAACTTTCTTTCTTTTCAAGTTCGAACTACCTAGACCATCCTGTTGCTAACACTTTTTCCTCGTTTTCACTGAGCGAGCAAATAATATCCCCTCAGTAGACTGTTGGAAATTTTGGCGGAGTAATATCACACTCTTAATCAATTATATTCTCTTGAAGACAAGTGAGAAAAGTATTTTTCTTCAGCAGTGAGGATCAGAGACTAACTATTGATCAAGTTAGTGGCGAGTCGTTTCTTATTCTCTTTATTTTGATTAGTAAAGCACTTATTCGTGGCGCGCGAAACTAGCCCGTAATTTTGCACTTCTCTTTTCATTCATGAAAAGAAAGATATCGATCCCCCCTTCGTGCATGCAGTCTGCAGTCAGATTTGAACCTGGGGGGGGGGGGGGGGGGGGGGGGGGGGGGTGGTGCTTCAGTCATATTACATATAAAATTAGTTTGCCTTTTTCACATGATCTCCCGTTTTATTTCTAGTTGCTCTAATATGTTGCTTTGCTCGTATACTCTGTGCGTCTTGCAGGATAGAATATACATTTAGCAATTTGGAGTGAGGATATCGGCATAATGATGTCGGGAGCAGGAAATGGACAGCTTTCAGTTCCTCCAGGGTTTCGTTTCCATCCCACAGATGAGGAGCTTCTTTATTATTATCTCAGGAAGAAAGTCTCATACGAAGCAATAGACTTGGACGTTATTAGGGAAGTCGATCTTAACAAACTTGAACCATGGGACCTCAAAGGTTAGTACATTTTCCTATTTTACTTCTTGCTTTTTCTGACTATGCTATGCTACAACTACAATTATTTGTATCTGAACAATGGTAGCAGGACTTAAGTTTTTTTCTTAATAACAAAAAAGCTAGAAAGCGCACGTCAATTATTCATTCATGCAGTTAATATTGTGGATATGTCAAGGGAAGAATGTGGAGGACGTACTGTACTGCCTCCTCATTCTACAGCCTCGTATAACTTTCTTTTTTCAGGTAATTAACCTAAAAGGCAAACAAGGCATAAGAATAGTCTCCTTCACCTCTACATTTAAATCTTCACCATTTAGGGAACTTATTTAGTTAGATAATGCTGGGAAAGTCGGTAGATCAAGTTAATCCATAAAGCACTCCTTTGATTTATGAATAGAAAGCGGATTTGATCATAAAGATGAGATTTCTCTGTCACCAAAAATGTATTGTACTTCAAAAACATAAAGAATCTCCTATAATTACCAAAACTTCCAAGGATCTAAATCAACTTCTTCTAAAGATCAACAAAGCACAAAATCATACACAATGACTTTATAATTTTATAGGGGAAAATATAAAAAACCAGATAAAAAGATGATTTATTTAAGATTTGGCTTATATCCACACCACACAGTGCAAATAAATTTTTACAAAAAGAAATATCATACAGAAAATGGAGCTATAATACCATGACCAACATATGTAACTTTTTAATATCAATAAACACGTAAGGTTTACCTAACCCCACCTGTGCCAGTTGATTAAGAAAGGGGGAATAATGCAAGTGCTATCTCAAATTGGCCCACTTCTTGTCAATATAGATGCATAAACATGTAAATATTTACTCAAATTAGGTTAATGTGGTGGATAAGTTGACTGTATTCTGCAGCCTCGTCTAAGCATATTTTATCAATATATAATAGTATAAGAATAGCTTGCACGCACGTTTATCCACACAAGCATATGCTAAATTCAAAATTGATGACATGCAGAAATATGTAGAATAGGATCAGGTCCACAGAATGAATGGTACTTTTTCAGCCACAAGGATAAGAAGTACCCAACAGGGACTCGAACAAATAGAGCCACGACAGCTGGATTCTGGAAGGCGACAGGGCGGGATAAAGCAATCTACCTTAGCAACTCCAAGAGGATTGGGATGAGGAAAACTCTTGTATTTTACACCGGACGCGCACCTCATGGCCAAAAGACTGACTGGATCATGCATGAGTATCGCCTTGATGACAACACTGCTGAAGTTGAGGTACTTAGTAACTTCCCAATACAACTATGTTTTTACTTTTTGGTCATCACACATCTAAATGGATTCAGCTTTTATGGGTTCATACTATTTGTTGCAATTTTAATAAAATGTTACTTATAAATTTATGCTCTCCACCGAAAGTTATGTGTTCGATTGAAATAATACCTATAATGCTACATCCGCCCCTGATCCTAGTTTTTGAGTAGTGTATAGTCATGTTATGTCTTGGCCGTTCCTCTCTCTTGTCAAGTTTGATTTTTTTTTCTTTTCAAAACACGTTAAAATATGTTTTTCTTCTTTTGGATGACAATGGAATTTGAATCCAGAATCACATGACTGCTCTAATATCATGTAAAATTATGTGACCATGTTGTCTAAATATTTAATATGTTAAAGAGAGCTGACTTTTAATTAATTAATTATATATGCCTCAAAACAATTTGATCTCCTTCTCTTTTCTGTAGAGTAGGGTATACAAGAAAAGGGATACTAAATTTTACATTTCAATATTGTTCAAGCCATTGCAGGAAGATGGCTGGGTTGTTTGTAGGGTGTTCAAGAAAAAGAACTACACTAGAGGTTTCCAACACGAGTTGGGTGAAGATGATCAGGAGCAACAGTTACATTTTGTGGATCATATGAAGTCTGGCAGTTCTGATCCAAAACAGAATATGCAACAACCTCATCAACAAGCCTGCTACGACTATGCGTCCAACTTTGATGGTTCAATGCACCTCCCTCAACTGCTAAGTCCAGACTTATTATCAGTCAATCCATGTCCTCAGCTTCCTTTGAATGCGAACATGAACCTTAATGAATGTTCGCATCAGAACTTATTGAGGCTAACATCAGCAGCTGGAGCAGCAGGTTGTAGCAGCAGTACTTTCAATATTATTCCTCAACACGACAAATTTAGTGGCGATTGGTCTTTCTTGGATAAGCTTCTTGCTTCACACCAAGGCGCACTGCAATCTCAAGCAGCTATCGGTGATCATTTGGTTAATCCCACAGGCACACAAAAATATCCAGTGTTCCATCACCATGGACTTGATCCTGACCTTTTCAAATTCTCTAAGTAGTATATATACTACGGCCAGCGTTCTGTGGCTGTTCTGAATTTTTTTTCTTTCATTTTTTTTCTTGGGTTTATTTCAGAGTTCTTTAAATGTTAACCAGAAAACTTAATCTCCTGTGTTGTGTTTAAAAGTACTTCATTCATTTTATTGTTGTGTGTCGAATTTGACTATAGAGTGTTTAACATGTTAAATTTAACTTTTCCATTATATTAAAAGCAATAGAGGAAAAATATATATTAAAGTACTCCTTCCTTTCCAAATATGTGATATGTTACTCGCAAACCCACACGCAAGTATACATGGTCGTATAAGTAGTAAAATGATAAATCGAGTGTTGAACCCATAGAGACTTATATTAACTACCCACTAAATTCACCATATCAATCAGAGTTCAAAAGTGTGATTATACTAAACAATAATTTTAACTAGTAACTAAATTCTCAAGCAACAAAATGGTTGTTGTATATTCAGTAGAGACAAATATTCCAGCATTGTGATCGATTCACCAATCCTATTGTGCTCTCGTTAACTCTCCCTTTCATACAATACACTCATGGTTGCTAATTAATCGAACAATTGCTCTCTTAGCTTTCTCTCGAAGTACTACTCGCATATTCAAAACAGATTAACGCCTATATTCATATGGAATCAATCTATTAAGAATGAATTAAGATTACAATAAATAATTAGGCACGGTGGCTAGATATATTTCTATCCTAACCACAAACCCCCCTCCCTCCACCCAGAGTTAAGATCATGCTCTCTTCAATTATTCTCTAATCTAAACATAGCTTTCCCAAGCATATCATAGATAGTAAATAGAACCTAACTGTTGGCGAGACAATTAAGCAATTACTCATAGAATAGAAGAAACAGCCATATATTGGTGAATTGTAATTAAGCTTAATTCAACTTTAAACAACAATATTCATGGCTAAATCACAACCCCAGAACTATGGGTTTTAGGCACTTATGATAATATCAAGACAATTTCACAAGTGTTGAATAATTGAAAATACTAAGAAAAGATGAAGAAAACTGAGATATCCTCGCCCCCGGATGTTCCTCGTGCATATTTTTTCCTCAAAATAGAGTCTCCCGTCTCAAAATAGACTTAGTCTTGCTTTTACACGCGTTGGGTAAGTCTTGGGCCAAAATAACCTTGTTCCGGGCAAAATTGGAGAAGTTCCCGTCACTAGAGCCCAGGGTAGCGTGAGGAGCTAGCCCTAGCGCTGGCAAATTGAAGTTTCTGTAAATTGCGCCACAGGTGCGCCCCACGCTGCCTGTGGCGCTCAAAATCAGCATTTTCCACCTTTTCTCCGTTTTGGATCTAATCTCGCACATTTTGCTCCCTATTGCCTCCGGATGATCCTACAAATAAAAATACCACGAATTGACATAAATCAATACATTTTACATCCAAAATCCATGAAATACGAGTAAAACATGAGGCGATATACATATAAATAAATATACTTTAAGCTAAATATTTATAACACATTATTATTGAGCACATAATTTAAGAAAGAAAGAACTAAAAATAGTTATAAGTATTTGTATGACTATAAATCATCTTACCAAGGATAATATGATAAGTTTAAAATTAAATTGTTTCTAAATATAGAAAAGTTATCATTCTTTTTGGGACAATCACTAAAAAGAAAAGTATTTCACATAAATTGGGACAAGAAATTAATAGGTTAAAGCTAGTTTCAAAGAGAGTGTATACGATCAAAACCGGGCTTGCCCTTTGAGACTAGAACATGATAGGCCAAGGTTCATCCTTGTAAGCACGTTATTTTTGCCCTATATGAGAATTACTCCCAAAAAATTCAAAAATAAAGTAATTTTTCTTGGTGTGCAATTTTGTGATATTTTGAATAATTATTTGTATTTGTCTGTGCATGTTTATTTGTTAAATTAATAAAAATACAAAAATATGTCGCATGTTGCATGTAGGATTTAATTCTACAATTGTTAGTAATTAAATTTGATTTACAAAAAATAAAAATTACAAAAATAGGCATCGTTTGCATTTTTAGCATTTAATGTCCAAATATACAATTTTATGCTTAATTATTACTTAATTGTGCGTTAATTATTATTGGGAGTTAATTTGCACTTTTATAACTTAATTTAGTTCTTAATAATAGTTTAAGTATTTTTATAATTTAGTTTTAGAAAAATAAAAGAAGAAAAGAGAGCGAAAATATAAAGAAA